ATGTTCTTGTGAAGAATGCTCTCCCATCGTCTCTGTTGGTAGTTGCTAAGAATATTCACACTTCAAGCTCAAATTTGCAACTTTCCTAGGCCTGCTAGATTAAAGCTCTTGTCATCTAGCAGAGCTTGAAAACAGGTTTGGAGTCACTTTTTCTGTGACCCTGTCCTAACATGTCCCTCATCTCTTGAGAGCTATGTGGCTCCTCAGTTTTGCTCTTTGCTTTTTCCAGGGAATGAACTGTGAATATTGGGAAATGACCCTATGCCATTTCCTTCTTGGGTGCACACACTCCTCCTATCTTTAATATTCACAGTTCCTCTGATTTGACAAAAAGCTCCTACGTCAACAGACCATCTGATATCGAGCGAATTTGCAGCTTCTATCTGTGGAAGCTTTGGTCCAATCACAACTAACTCTTATCTTTGAAAGAAGCTTAAGTAGGCTTTAAAATGTACACACCATTGAAAGACAGCTCTGACTGTGCAGACCATGAAAACCATATCAACATGTATGGAAATGTCACGTTATGAACAAGCAAACAATTTAAGCATCCTCAACAAAATCAGTCAAGTTGCAGTAAGTTTTCTAAATATTTGCCATAAGGAAGCATTTTTTATTTGTTCCCTTATTTAGATGTAGACTTTCCCAAGTTGTTTGTTTACCAAATATATACATTAGAGAACTAAATATATTATTTTAAGTAGTATTCATAGTATAATTTCTCATACTTATATTTGATAAAGAACAACATTCATTTGGTATACTTTGAACTTTCTTTTTATAACTGTAAACTCAATTAAATGCATTTAGTTTAGAGTCTACTCAGAAAACCATCAATCGTGGTTATATGGTAATAACCACTGGGTTTTATGTCATTAAAATTAAAGGATTTCAAATTGAATTGAGAACCTGCAAGTCAATATTCTTAAAATGTTCATCAACTTTTTGTAGTTCATTTACACTCCTAATGGTTACTTAATCTTAGCAGGTGACCCATATCAAGTATGACAATAGATATCACCCCTATGCGTTTGAGAGGGAATGAATGGGAATGGCCTAATAAGTTGAGCATACAATGAAAAAGCATTGTAATCCAAAATATGTCATGCCAAAGATTCAATAAAAGTTCAAATGTTGACCTAGTATTTGAATTGTTCATTAACAACTAATTGAGGACCTTCTAAGACCAACACACTTCACTGATTTTTTAAAAAAACAAACAGCAAAATAGTAATAAAATTTGGTAAAGTCACTGCTCCTTGACCTTGAAACAAGGCAATTATATTGTGAAGAGGTTAGTTTTGAAGATACGATCAATACATATATAGTAGAAACAAATCAATAGAACAAAATGAAAGATGCTGAATATAAACTGCATTAATATCTTAGTACGTTGTATAAAACTACTATGAAGCAATAGTAGAGTGGGAACTAAGCTCTTTATTTTGTGAAGCAGATAAATTGATAAGAATTTTAGAGAATCAGGGTCTAACTCTTTATCGAGCTTTCTTAGCTTTTCAGAGCTAGATTCACATTACATTTTCAGTTTTAACTGTGTGTTACTATCTTCTTTGAACTGTACTGTTTTTTAAATGGCAATTGCCCAGTTGGACGGTTGGGAATTAAGCACCATGAAGAACATAGCATGATTTCTTGATCAAAGTCACTTTGGCATCTATAATCCTTTTATGACTGTATCTCTCACTCATTTTATTCACTTACTCCTGCAGGAAAAAAATGGCAAGGATCCCAATTCTTTATATTATAAACATAGAACACACACTAACTTGTGTGATCCTGCATTTCTCTTTCTGATCATTCTTTCATGATTGCTTTTACTTTCTCAAATTAAGTTGTACAGGACTGCATTACTTCAAACTACAAAGCATTTGCCAATCTTAGCAAGACAAAACCCATGGTCATAGGAAGTTCAGGACTAGTTATCAGTTAAAGAGGAGAGAAAAATGACAGAACCAAATCCACAGTATCCTGGGTAAGTTTTAGACTTGTCTACAGCAGGATAAATGTAGCTTTTGTATACATAAACTGTTTTTTCTGGAAGGCATTAGACAGAGCTTACCTACCTAGCCTCAGAGAGAAAGAAAGATATAACTCTCCCTCAAATAGATAACTAAACTTATGTTTTCCCTCTTACAATATCTTTTCATACTTTGAATTAAGCATTTGAAGAAGGGGGCATAAGGAAAATAAATGGGCAGGGATGCCAAACATAAGGCTCTGCTTGATGAACCACGATACATATTTATGTGTAGCCCAGGCATCCTTATCAATGTCACATACTTGGCCAATTGTTTTTTTCTTATGCTCTACAACAAAGGTTCAGATCTTCTGACAGTTTCAGAGTGACCATATAGATTGTCAACAGAGTCCAGCTCAGACACCCTTTTCTCCGACTGGTACTTTTGCTCATTCCTTTCTTGCATTTTCCCACAAAGTAAGCTTCAGTTCCCAAGAGCTCATGTAAGGTTCGCTGCCTCATCAAACTCATCTTAGTATTTCTCTACTTTTTGAATGTATGGCTTAGTACATGCTTAAAATACCTTTGATGAAGAAATAATTGTACAGCAGCATAAAATGGTACAAAACAACAGAGGAGAAAGACATCTAGATGAACCTCATTTATTTCATCATATATAATTTACTAAACTAGGGGATAAGATGTCTAAGATACAGAAGTCTTTCTCTGGAGACTAATTATTTAAAATTTGCAATTTCATAACTTCAGACAGTGATAAGACTATTTCCAATAACATTGATTTCATATGCAGAAAAGACTAAATCAAAAATATAATGCATGCCTGGTGTGGTAGTTCTTTGCATTTTACAAGTCGCTCCTTTCTTTGTGAAGTAAATATGATACGTTTCTGACTGGCTAGTATTTCTCTGAACAGTGATCATATGAGCTGACCACAACACAAGCATAGATTGCTTCATTGTGTGAGGGTCAGAGGATGCAGAGGTGAACAATGCCAATAGAAAGAACAGTTGAGCTAGGAAATGGGATTAAGTAACAGAAGTAAATGTTAGAAAGTGCTCGAAAATGAAGAAAGGTTGTAAACTTCAAATATCTGTTACCTGAAACCAAGTTTAGACAAGAATATTAAGGAGGGAGTTTTGTTGAAGGAGGGGAGCCAGGAGATTGAGAGATTAGAGACTGTGAAAACAGAAGTATTAAAGGATATTGCTAACATATAGTAATTTGGGAGTGATGTATGAGAGCTGAGATTTCACTTGGGTTCATTTATTTACTTCTAAAGTTTTGAGACTAATTATAATATTTAAATATTTTTGTGTTTTTACTATTCTTCTGGTCAAAAAGAAAATTCAATAATCAAATGCAAACAGATATGAGTCTGATTAATTATTTTAAATACTCTTTCTTGTTTTCCTTTTTTTAAAAAATTCTTTCAGTGCAATTCCAAGGTCAACTAAGGCTACGAGTGAATACAAACCATATGTTTCACATCAGACTGTGGCAGTGTTAAGAGGCTAGACTCTGGGGTCAGATGCCTTGGTTGTAAAGCACAACCCTGCTGCTTGCCATCTGTCTCCCAGGCAAGTTGCTTAGCAGCTTGATAAAGTAGAGGTAAAGCAGCATGCAGATCACATGACTGTTTTGTGGCACAAATGAGTCCATGAAAATTAAAAGCACTAGAGCGATGGCAGACATTGACAGAATAGTGTCTGGCATGTTGTGAATATGCGTGAACAGAGATGGTTGCTATTACCGTAGGCATCTGGTGCAGACTGATATTTATGAGCTAACATCTATGCCGTCTTTCTATCTCGCAGATAGGTTGAGTTCCAACTCTGTCTTCACCACGTGTTAATACTTGAAGTTAAAACACAAAGAGTCTATGAACTTATGAGTCCAAGGGTCTCAGCAAAACACCATGCATTAAATATAGCTAGGAAGAATTTTCTGTCTTAAGTTGAAATGATAGAGACATACCTGGTTCAGATACAGAGCTTAGACAACCTGAGTGTCTAGAATGTTCCATGCACAAAGCAATTCTACTTATTTGTCATCTCAAATATGTCTTTTCCATGATGAGGTTTCAGTTGAAGAAGGGCTTTTGATGATTAACTTTATGGTGCTGCCATTGAAAGGAGGTTAATAGAATGCAAATTGTAAATATATATGTAACAGATCTGTCATCACCTAAGAGGAAGTAACAACCCCCACTGGGTTCTGAGCTGAAACAAGAGGCCTCTTCAACTTTGCTCTTAGATGGACCTGTTTAAGTCAAATCCTTAAATTAGACACAAAGAAGGGATTTCTGGCCTGTGATCATTGACTACTATGTCTATGATAAAGTTTTGGTAGCACAGAAACAAGCAACAGATAGTTTTCTAAGATCTCATAGTACTCGTTTTATTTCTCTAGGCTGTATATGTACATGTTGTAGCAGCAATTTACACTAAGTGATAATTGGAGTATAAAAGAACTTTGTTGACTCCTCTTGGGAAGACTTAGCCTCCCTGAAGACAGGATAAAGGATGGGGTGGGTGAAAGGTGGGGGGAGCAGGAGGAGGGGAGGGAGAGGGAACTGGGATTGGTATGTAAAAATAGGAAGGATTGTTTTTTAAAAAATAAATTAAAAAAATCTTTTAAAAAAGGACAATGAAAAACATAGGTATGTAGTTGTACAGAAACTACATACAATTAGAGCTTGATACTGGGTATTAATTAGCTGAGATGGAATACAATAGATTCAGATTGAAATATACCATCATATCAAATACATGAAGGCTATTTTTAAATGTGTACTTGAGACATGACTATTTAATTAAATTAAAAAAAATAAAAGAAATATTCTTTTAATAATGTACTTTTGAAGTAGTGCATTGACTTAATTCAGGTATTTAGTCACTAATTATTTTATTTTTGATTGATTTAATTTTTTGAAAAAATAACTTAATTGCACTTTAAGCACAGCAAAGAATTGTGATATGCGTTCATTTGTTGCTCCTTTTAGGTTTATTTCCTGCTGTCCTGAATCTTGCTTCTAATGCGCTCATCACAACCAATGCCACATGTGGGGAGAAAGGACCCGAAATGTACTGCAAGTTGGTGGAGCATGTTCCTGGGCAGCCTGTGAGAAATCCTCAGTGTCGAATCTGCAATCAAAATAGCAGCCACCCACACCGTATGTATTATATATTTGTGTTACATGTATTATACATTTGTATGGCAATGGATAGAATATATGATAAAAAGACAGGGAGGTCAAGTTGTATTAAGGTCAAAAAACTTGCGAGACTAAGATTTCCAGAATTTTCCTTTATGTTGAGCTTTTTATGTGTTCTGTTTTATGATGCTGCTTGTTTGTTCTTGGCTGCTCAGGCCCGAAATAGTCACACACAGAAACTATATTATTTGCAATACTGTTTTGCCAAGAGCTTAAGCATATTTCTGGGTAACCCATATCTTAAATTATCCCATCTCTATTAATCTGTGTATTGTCATGAGACTGTGCCTTACCAGGTAAAGTTCTGGCGTCTGACTCTGGCAGGGCTGCATGTCTTCTCCTTGACTCTGCCTTCTTTCTCCCAGTACTCAAATTAGTTTTCCCCACCTAGTTTTGTTCTGCACTGCCATAGGCTCAAAGAGTTATTTATTTATTAACCAATAAAAGGAACACATAAACAGAGGGCCTCCCACATCATTTTCCCATTTCTGTTTAAATAAAATGGAAGGTTTTAACTTAACATATTAAAATTACATATAACAAAAGAGGTATCAAACAAGAATTAGAGTTACAATAATGATATCTACTTTATCTTTATCATAACTGAGGAAAACTATAACTATATATTCTTCAACACCATCAAAGACTCCGGAAGAATATAATATTACCTAAGTAAACAGAAGTGCATTATAACCAACTTCCAAAACTTTAGACTGCTGGGTAGGAGCCACACTCATCACCTCAACTCTGATAACAAGTTGGTTCATGTTGCCACCAAGTAACTTGCAGCATGCTGCCAATACACCTCATTTAATTGCTTGGACTCCTGAAAAAGCCAGAGTTTGAGTTGGCAGCAAGGCCCAGGAAACCAGTGTTTCAAAACTGTGTGGATTTTTTTTTATGTTACCACTGAATCAGGAAGACCTCCCTTAAAGGAGCTGTGGCATGCCACCAGCAAAATCAGGGCCTCCAAGTAGCTGTGCTTAACTCTGTTCTTTTGTGTCTAAAGTTACTTTTTAAGCTTTCTCAGGGTATTATGTGGATTTAACTGGCACATGTTGGGTGACAATTTGTTGTAGATTTCTGTCGTGCCAGGTCCCATAAAAGAAATCCCACACTAGTTCATAATTAAGTATAATAAAGGGTTATTTATTTAGTGGTAGACTAACAGATCACAGTCCTCTGCTCTAACAGGGAACAGCAACCAAGTCCAGTATGAGAGAGAGAGAGAGAGAGAGAGAGAGAGAGAGAGAGAGAGAGAGAGAACATACATTTGACATCAGCATTTATAGTATAAGAGGCCACCCAAGTGGGTGGGTAACTTAATGGCTACTGGCTGAAGGATTTCCTACAACAGTGGTCCCTCTTAGTTCCTCTTAGTCATTCTATGAACATTTTTAGCATTAGTATCCTATCCATACACCAAAGTCAAAAATAAAGGGAATTCACTATTTGAAGTCTGTGTCAGTAGCTAAGATAAATATATATGTGACTGACTCCAAAATATGGAGATGTGGTGGTTCACATGGAATTTGACTGTTCATTGGTTACTTATTTTCTAGGTACTGATCTTGAGATTCAAAGTGAATAAAGTATGGTCCTGTATTCAACTAGTGAGTCAAGGGTTAATGAACACATATCCTGAAGTGAGAGAGGTCACAAATTTAGTCTCAGTATAAGAGAAGTCTTGCCTGATGAAACCATGATGAAGCTGGCAGCCTAGGTCAAGTATAAACTAAAGAGGTTAATAAGTGAGGAGAGGATGAGAAGAGGTCAGAAAAGTAAAAAAAAAAAATCAGAAAAAGACAGAGAAAAGACTTTCCTGACAGAACCATGATGAACCTGGCAGCCTAGGTCAAATATGAGCTGAGGAGTGATGAGAGGATGGTAAAGAAAGGTGAGGAAGGAAAATAGTTCAGAATAAGACAGAAAAGCTTCTTTGTAAAAAGATGTACAAATAGTTAGGAGGAACTGAAATTTTCAGACGGCAGAGTCTCGATACATGCGGAGTGTGGAAGCTGGAAATGGCTTAAATGAAGAATCCTACCAACCAATAGAGGAGTGGCCGATAAGAGGTGAATGTCAAGCTTTCGTGGTGGCCTTTGTGAACCATGTATTTATGCCACAGAATAAGAGCATGTATTACAGTCAATACAGAAGCACAAAATAAAATTATATTCTTCAATCTAGAGAAAGTATTAGGAAATCAAGAAAGGTGGATCAGGTACTAAGAATTTGCCTAGAGAACCTAAGTACAAGGAGAGTATCATGCACAGATAGAGGCTGTGAGAGGTAGAATAAGTGAATTATCAAAGTAAGTCATGCACACATATAGAGGATGTGACACAACATGGCATATTGGGGGAACTATATATAATTTGCTTTAGCCTGTAAAGAATTTGTATGATAAAATGAAATTATTTAAAAATGATTTAGAGAGGAAGACAGACTTACAGATATGTTTTAGAAGACAATATGTCTGTGTCTATCCTGGTTGCCTAGAAAAGAGAGTAGTAGAGTCAATAATGGTAATTGAGATAATGTTGAAAATATAATTTCATAATTAGACAATTTTCTCATTTGTTCAATTTTATTCACACATTATTTTTAAATACAGTTTTAGGTTTCCAGTTAAATAAAGAACAAAGTATCAAGATTTTGCAAATATCCACCTCCTCAGCATATGTGTGGCCTCCTCAATAGCCTTATAATCTTCATTGTTCCCACTGTCTAGAGTGCTAATTTGCACTGTTGAACCTATATCAACACATTATCATCCAACTGTCATAATTTACATTGTGTTTCACTTTTAGCAATGTACAAATTGGACAAATATATAACATTATTTTGTCATATTTTAATACTAAGAAAAATACTAAGGATAATAGATTAATTGAGCTATAACTTAATGGAAGGGAAGGAAAGAAGAGAGAGAGAAAAAGAGAGAGAGGGAGAGAGAAGAGTAGCTAAATTGCCTTATATCAAATTTAAAGATTTTTAAAAATTGGATATAATATATCCAAACATATGAATGTATGAACAGTTAAATGAAGAAAATTACTGATATTGTAAATCCAGGATCTTTGAAAAGTTAAAGTATTCATAGAGGGCAGCGACAAAGAAACTTTCATATCTTTTTGTGACGCTGGTGTGTGCATGGAATTGGGCAGTGATTGAATACAGCTTGGGTTTGGCTCCCTCTGGATTGGTATGTTAACAGCTGAGAACCAATGCCAGAGCCATGGAGAAGCTTCACTTGGTAAGGAAATGACTTCTAATAATCAAGGCTGTTGATGAAGAAAACTATTTCAAGCTGGTAATCAGGAGAATGTGATGCCAAGTGAAGAGAAAAGAGGTGTTACTCGTGGTGCAGATACTGAGTGGGGTAAAAAGAGAAGCATCAAATGTCTGGACGGACCCTCAAGGAGAAGGCAAAAACAGCAGAGAAGAAATATAGGATAGTAGGGAAACTGAGGCAAAAACCAGAAAGTAAATGAATTGTTGGATAATAACTTTTAGATTCACGGGGAATGAAGAGGAGTCCTGTTGGACAGAAATCACCATCTGTTCTGGGAATGGTTTCTCATTTTCACAAAGACATGGAAGCCTAGAATCCCAGACATGGTAGTAGGTGGATGATGGACATAAGGTGGTAGGAATGTGTAGATGTGTGCTTAGACTAGGACAGGAAAGAGGGAGAATTAGGTAGATGAACGTGTTGACATCACTATGATTATGCTTACATAAAATTTATTAAATGTAAAATTAGCATTGATGTATATTACAGTCTAAGTATATTAAATAGACAACTACATTTAAATATGTAAATGTGTTATACACAACAGAGAAAGATGGAACTGAGTACTATCCTAGAAAGAATGATAATGATGCAAGTTTAAGGTGGAAAAGAATTAAGTGGAGACTCTGGTTGGAAAAATGGATGACTCATCCTTGTCAGGTAGAGTCACTGACCCATCCCATCACCTCTCTGCTTTAGGGTTCTGTGTTTGGGGGTCTCTTACATCTCAATGAAGGAAACTTATGCTTTGATGTAGACATACAAAGTTTTTAATATCAAAGCCAAAACTAGTTCCTTCAATGAAGCGTGGTGCATAGGAGGAGAGCTCCGATTTCTCTGTTTGCTCACTTGCAGTCTCTTAAACTTGTCACAGCCTGCATTTACTTTGTGTTATTTTTAAGTGTGAGTAGCTTCATTACATTTCAAAATCAATTTTGATACTGGAAACACAAAAAAAATAAACTATGACAGGAATAAAAATTTGGCAAAAATTTATGTGAATACACTTGAGTAAAAGTTGTAGTAACAAATGATAAATTTCCGCAAATTCAGGGACCTTCCAGAATAAACTCGTAAGGTCTGCATTTAATCACCATGCAAAGAAAATGAAATGAAGTTTTCGGCTGTTAGTAATTTGTTTTTCTTAATTAAAACACAAACAGTTTGAGAAGATTGTGTAATGATTTCCCAGCCAGTTTTCAAATGTAGTTGGCTCTTTCTTTGATTTGTGTAGTTTGTCCTTTTTTGAGGAAATAATGTTTCTATATTTTTTTAAATAAAGAACTTCTGCCAACAATTAATCAGTATTTGCAATTAATTATGATTATTAAAGTGGGAATTATGGCTAGTTGTTGATACATATTCTCATCTTTTTTCCTGGCTGAGTCTCATTTCAATTTGACTTGAGGTAGCGGATATTAAAATTTTCACTAAAACAGATTTTCTTGGCAATTACAAAAAATCTTTGAATTCTGGTTATAATCATGTCTGCCTGTGTGCTTTGCTTCCACACATGAGAACAACAGCAAAAAGAATTAGGAAGATGTGGGAATGTTTTCTATATCTATTTTTCTGTAAGGGCAATGGCAGTAAGACTTCATGCATTGCTCTGATTCCTAATGTGCTGATTTCTGCATTTGCTCATCTACCAGAGATATTTGTTGATATTTAGTTGTGCTTCTGTGGATTGCTGTTTTCATAAAGTGACACTGTACCTGACTTCACAGAATTCAACTGGCATGAATTATTAAATATATTCATCAATTTTACCTTTGTTATTGAAACAGGATGCCTCATCCCAATGAGCTATTGATGTGATAATACTTGGTACAATGTAAAGTCCAAGAAGCACTATAGCTGCACTGAATTTTCAGTGGCAATGCTATATTACCATTCTGTCCTTTATTATATGTCTAGATTAATATATAAATATCACATTTTAAGTTCATGTTTTTTGAAGATAATATAGAAGACTAAATAGGTAAAATTAACATCAAAATTTTTACTAACTAGAAATGGCAAATTTAGTAAGCATTCTTTCATGTATGTGTGCATTGAATATTCATGTGTTTATGTGTCCTATTGCATGTGAAAAGGAGAGAGGATAACCATGAGTGTTTTCCTTAGGCACTCTCCGTCTCTGATTTTGAAGCAGGGCCTATCATTTGCTTGGAACTTGTCAAATAAGCTATGTTGGCTGGGCAGTGAGCTCCAAGTATTCTCCTGGAAGAAGAGCCAACATAATCCATAATGTAGCAGGGTTCTGAGATATTAGGGTAATTCTTTCACTGTCCTAAGAGCACACATATGCCACACTCGGCTGCCTGGGGATAATCATGATCACAAAATTTTGTGTTGCTGATATTTTTATCTTCAACTTTTATTAGGTGTAATTTTTCTGTAAGATTCATAGCAATGCATCATTATAAAGTACATTTTGAACAGGGTTATCATTTATTTCAGTACTATATAAACATGTTCCTCATAGTAATAGTACACATGGGCAGACCCCTAAAGAAAGGGATCCCACTCAAATGTTCTCACTGATCAATGATAATAAGGACAAGGAATACAGTATTCTACAGTCTTTATAAAACTAAAAAGGATAAATTTAACAAATTTTCCTTAATTTGATATTCTTGTTTTATTTAAAGTTAATTGTAGATTTCTAAATGTCCATTAATTTATGAATAAATTTTGAATTCATGGTACACTGAATGATGGTATATTAGACTCAAGATTACTATTATTTATAAAATTCTGTGGGGAGAATTCCTATATTAACTTCCAAAAGTATTACACACATTTTTCCCCTGATTTTACATTTCTCCTGGAAGTTGAGTATCTAAAAAAAATGCTGTTGTGAGTGAATTTTTGCTACCCATCCTTTAGTCATAAAATGGAATTTAAGTGATCTGTTCATAGTCAGTTAAGTACTAAATAGTGGAGTCAAGAAATAGCTGGCATGAAATATGACTGCTCGTTATACCCCAAGTCTTGTGATCTTTTCTCCCATATCAGACAGAATACATGTCCCAGCTCTTAAACTCTGCTGACAAATTAAGAGGATAGGGTTGATCCTCATATTGACGAAATTTGTTCACTAGTTAGGGGTCTTCCTTCAACTTAAAATAAGGATTGTGTTAGGGTTCTGTAGAACAGCGCTGAACAAATGAATATATAGAAACGGCCAATTCTTCTGTTGGCTTTTACAGTATTGTCCAGATAGACCAACGATGGCTAATTTCACATGGAAGAAGCTAAGAACAAAGTAGCTCAGTTCTGAAGACTGTGTGGTTCAACAGTCCTAACACAGTGTTGAGGTCCTGGGGGTTTCCTGCAGAGCCTCTGATCTTCAATGTAGGTTGAAAACCTGAAAAATCTGGATTCTGAGATGAGAAAAGAAAAGTAGCAAAGGCAGCAACTGAGTTGATAAACTTTTGAGTGAGATGTGAAGGTAAAACACATAAAGCTTTTCTCTTGGAACTCCTTTTGTCTGGACTGACACTGGAAGGTGCATCCATGGTTTTGAACAGGTCTGTCAGCAATTGTCTGTTAATTGATTCCAAATCCAGTTAGGTTGAGAACCCAATCAACCACCACACTTTAACTCTGAATATTTTCTGAGACAATTCATTTTGTTCAAGTCCCTAAGATTGGTACTGCAGTGCACACTTATACTAGAAATAACAGGAAGATAACAGGGTAGCAGAGTGATGTGGGATTTCCCTCTGTATCCTGTGAATACCATTGGTGAATTAAGAAACTTCCTTGTCCCGTTGGTAGGGCAAAACTTAGGTAGGCGGGGAAAACTAAACTAAATGCTGGGAGAAAGGAGGTAGAGTCAGAGAGAAGCCATGTAGCCCCTGCTGGAGACAGATGCTGGATGGAACTTTACTACAAATTAATAGAGTTAGGTTAGTTTAGGATATGAGTTGCCCAGAAATATGCTTAAGCTATTGGCCAAACAATACTGCAATTAATATGTTTTCTGTGTGATTATTTTGTGTGTGAGCTACCTGGTGGCCGGGAAACGAATTAACAGCCTCACCACAACAGCAGAGAATCTTATGAACACTTTACAGACATTGCAGATGGCAGATGTGGTAGCTTCTGCATGAGGTCTGAGGGACTTAGACATCTTTAACAGCCTTGAGAACAGAAACAGGAACACCAACACCCTCCACTCTTGCCATCCTCAGCCAGATGTGCTCTGTGCATATTTAGAGAAAAGATCTAGAACTTGTGAAATATGAGAAAAGTTTCCAACACAGTCAAAAATGTAATAAGGCTGTGATATGTGGGGATATTTCTGTTCTGAGATCTGTGCGATGAATTCAAAGGCACAAGAATCTTAGAGCTCCAAGCTCAGAAGGAAAAAGAGCTGTAGTGAAAGACAGTCACAGTTGGAGGAATGGCTCACATGTCCTTCCTTGTCTCCAGTCTCTCTTTGAGCCCCACTACAGTTCTGTCTGGATTGGGCTTAGGAGGGAAAGCTTGTGCTTGGTTGGTGTATTGGAGTTATATGGCCCAGTCTCCTGGCTTGCAAATGTTCATTAGATTCCTTTCTGGAATGGCCAAGTGAATGTTGGCTAGAGGGGTTGGGGAATTTCTCAGTATAGTTCTAAATTATGGTAAGAAGGTGACAAGTTAAAGACTCGTTACAGAAGAAAATCTCATAGGCAGGAAAAGGTATTATTTTCTATTAAAGCCACACACATACTTAATTTTTCACCTCTCAGCAGTAAAGAATGTGTGTGAACAAGCAATGGTCAAGCAGTTTTCCAACAGGAGAGTTTACGTTATCAAATGATCAGCACATTAGTTGAATTTCTGTATGATATCATTGCACTTTGTTTTTGGAAGTATCTTTAAGGCTCTCTGTTTTATCTGGTGGTCAGCATTCAGTACCTTCTGTAGGCTAGACATTTCACCATATCCTGCCATGTTGTGTAAAACTATGAAACCACAGAGATGTGTTGAAGATAAAAATTGCTTTTTAAAATGATTGTTATCTGCAGGCTTGGTCTATCTCCACACTTTATTTTTAAAGAGACAGCTATAAACCCATTATCTGGTCTTTTCTCTCCCCCCTCTGCTGCTGACACCATAGAGAGACATCCAATCACAAATGCTATCGACGGCAAGAATACATGGTGGCAGAGTCCCAGTATCAAGAATGGAGTCGAATATCATTACGTGACAATTACTCTGGATTTACAGCAGGTAGAGTACCTCTTGTCATTTTCCACTTTTGAAATTATACCCTGCATCTGCTATTTGTTTAGTTAGCAATTTTTAGATGAAGGTATATGCTTTCTTATCACTATTATTTTCTCAATATTGTGACAAAAGATCCTACCCATTTCTGGTATAGTCATTTATTGATGTTTGGCACTTACTTCTATAACACAACTCAAATGGATCCATGTGGATGGTTTAGAAATGAATTAGAAGCCAATTGTCTCCTAAGTAGTTGGAAGTAATGATAAAAATATGAATCGACAAAATTTTAAGTGAAGAAAATACAACAGTGCAGATTAAAACTTATAAAATAAACCTCTTGCTACCACGCTGCTGATAATATGTGTGCTTATAAGGCTCTTGAATAGCAAGGCTCTTGAGTAAATTGCTTCTCATTACTTAGAGTTGTGCAAGCTATAATGTTGATTCTCAAATTAAACTAGGATGACTAAATGAGATATGAGGCCTTGTAATTGTATAAAATTTATGTTGGTGGTCACAGTTTGTGTAGAATAAGTCCACATGCCTTCTGTTTCTTTTTTTTCAAAGTTTATTAAATTATAAAAGTTTCCCTTTCCGCCCCTCCTCCCAACACCCTCCCACTCCCCCCCACTCCCTCTCCTCCTCCCTCTCCATCCCTAAGAGCAGTCAGGGCTTCCAGCCCTGTGGGAAGTTCAAGTTCCTCCCCCCTCCCTCCAGGTCCAGGAAGGTGAGTATCCAAACAGACTGGATCCCAAAAATCCAGTATATGCAGAGGAAACAAGTCTCAGTGTCATTGTCAATGGCTTTTCAGAAAGACTCTGGGCCAGCCACATTCAGAGAATCTGGTTGGATCATGTGCTCGTTCAGTTCCAGTCCAACTGGCCTTGGTGAACTCTCATTAGATCAGTCCCCTTGTATCAGTGGGTGATCGCACCCCTCGCTGTCCTGATTTCCTTTCTCATGTTCTTCCTCCTTCTGCTCCTCATTTGGACCTTGGGGGGCTCAGTGCGGTGCTCCAATGTGGATCTCCGTTTGTATCGCCATCCATCGTCAGATGAACGTTCCCTCTGGTCTTGCCTTCTTTGCTCACGTTCTCTTTCCTTCTGCTTCTCGTTTGGACCTAGGGAGTTAAGTCCAGTGTTCCAGTGTGGGTCTCTGTCTCTATCTCCATCCATCGCCAGATGAAGGTTCTGGATGGAAGCTGGGATGGCAGGCGGGAGAGCTTAGCAGGGTGGAGCCAGCACAGCAGGGTGGAGCCAGCACTGCAGGGTGACCTGGGAGTCTATGGGGTCGGGGAAAGTCCAAGCTCCTCCTCGCCGGGCCTCTGCCGCGGGCCCGAAGCAAACTCACCCCTCCGATGGCCCTCTGCTAGAAGTCAGGGCCCCTTGCTGGTCAGAAATGTCGCTGAGCTGACACCTGGCCCACCTGTCCTCAGGGAGGCTTTTAAGACACAGGAACTGCCTTCTGTCAGGATGCGCCTACAGCCCAGGCCCATGGTGCAAGGCAGCTGAGCTGGGGAAATTTTATGGCCCCGGGGGAAGGGAGAAATGTAGGAATTTGTACCTGGATGGAAGCTGGGATAGCAGGCGGGAGAGCTTAGCCTGCCTCCTGTTTCTTAACTCTCTTATTTTTCTTCATGATACTACATTCATGATACTGAGTTTAATAACCAATATTCATCCCATTCCCAAATTATTTAGGCTCATATATGGATTTATGATGGAATTTGAAAAGACATTCTCATAATTTTGCCCCAACACATAATAAGATAGTGCCGTTGACCAGAGGTTAAGAAATGTTGAACTTACTTAGACAGATTTTATTTTGCCTGTTTTCCTTTCATTTCCTTGCATCATCATAGAAAAATCTTCCACCATCACCTCATGTGCGATGTGAGAATGTGGTGAAGATGTTTAATGACACAGACAACACAGCAAGGTAATGGTTGGCATAGGATGCCATGGTGTGAGAAAGGAACCACTAGCAGAAAAGATTGACACCAGACCCAAGAATTAAGTATTTCTTCTCTAGGATCTTGGCCCTTCTTGGTGAGGGCTTCACATATTCCTGAGCTATACATGGATGCTCGGATAGCGAGCAAACTAGATGATCTCACGGTACATGCCCCGTTATTCCTCCAGGAACTCTGTGGCACCTGAGCAACTAGATAAGAATAGGGTCCCCAGCCTGGTGGTGGTGGCGCACGCCTTTAATCCCAGCACTCGGGAGGCAGAGGGAGGCGGTTCTTTGTGAGTTCGAGGCCAGCCTGGTATACAAGAGCTAGTTCTAGGACAGGCTCCAAAGCCACAGAGAAACCCTGTCTCGAAAAATCAAATAAATGAATAAATAAATAAATAAATAAATAGAATAGGGTCCCCAAGCTGCCACTGAATAATCAGTGAACCCGAGTTTATCTCTACCCACTAGAAGAGTGTTAGCCTTTAGTTAGTTCTTAGTTCATAAGAACTCTCAGAGAACTCTCTGGTCATGGGGTACAAATGCCATCATGACATTCGTTAGGTCATTTGACCTATGGATGAATTTCCAGAGGATCTTATCCTCAAAATGGACTTCCTTTTTTTTTTTCCTGAGTATAGACAGCTTGGTCTTTTATTGATTCCAGCAGCCATGTGATCATTAAAAATTCAACCTTTCCAATGAAGAGAGAGACTGCAGTCCACTGACTCAGGACTTTGCTGGTGATAGGGAATCAATAGATAGTGAAGGTTTACTGTTCTCATTTATTCTCCCTTTATTCTTATTTTAAATTGCACATGAATCAAGAAGGTCAACTATTAATATCATGTACACAGATTACTTAAACTTCCTTTTGAACTGGACAACAATATTATTGTTGTTAAAGTGTTAAAGTGTTCCAGCTTTCCTTCTAATTTACAGCCATATGACACAATCACAGGTTTTAACGTCATTTTCTATAGCAACTAATCCATCACTAACTTAGTAAGTCAGAGTTTACCTGAAAGTCATGTGTTTTCATTGAAGGCAGGAATGTATTCCTCTGTTTCATGGACTGATTTCCACATGAGCACATAATATCATGTGGTGCTTTTCGTGTTTATATTTCCTGCTATGTAGTATAATAACCTTAAGCTGAGTTGACATTCTAAAGTATCTTCTATAGTTATGCCTTCACAACAAGTGAGCATGCATATTTATAATAAAGGTTGACCCAGTTCCAAACTCTGAATTCATCAAGTAGAATTGGTTCGGCAACTATAGGCTCAAATGGTCTGATAGCATGGTACTCACCCATTTTCATATTTATGTTTACTTTTACCTACTTCCTAAAAATTTGCCTAATATATGCATTTAATAGAAGGCAGATTCATATAATCTATTTCATGAGGTTAGCACTCATTTCTTCTTGACCCAAGATTTAAGTATAGTCAGTTAATTATATTAAAAATTAATCATGTTTTATAGCCAGGTTTTTTAATAGAATTCCTTATACCAGAAGGGGTTTCACACTTTCTTGTGACCTCTGTCTGTGGATTAACAAAATTTCGAAGGGTACTTAGCTACAGGATAGAGGTGTAGAAGAGCATCTTTTAATGCAGTGACAACCAAGGAAATGTGGACATTCTTTACTATCTCACAGCATTCCTTGTGGCAGCTGATGTTATCACTCCTATTTAATAGCTTTTAGAAGGTTTGAACTCTGAGACATTTATTTTCCCAAATTATTAATCTTATATCTCCTTAGAAAAATAGTACTACCAACCAGATTTGGCTTTGGGTGGAGAACTTTAGTTATTTTTTTTTGTTTATTTCATAAAGTTTTTTTTATTATTAAATTATAAAAGTTTCCATTTCAGCCCCTCCTCCCAACACCCTCCCACTCCCCCCACTCCCTCTCCTCCTCCCTCTCCACTCCACGGTCCAAATGAGGAACAGAAAGATGAAGAAAATAAAAAAAGTAACCAGGACTGCGAGGGATGCGAGCACCCACTGATACAAGGGAACTGATATAATGAGAGTTCACCAAGGCCTGTTGGACTGGGACTGAACGAGGTCGTGATCCAACCAGATTCTCTGAATGTGGCTGGCCCGGAGCCTTTTTGAAAAGCCATTGACAATGACACTGGGACTTGCTTCCTCTGCATATACTGGATTTTGGTGCTCCAGTCTGTTTGGACTCTCACCTTTCCTGGACCTGGAGGGAGGGGGGAGGAACTTGAACTTCCCACAGGGCAGGAAACCCTGAGAACTTTAGTTATTGATCGCAAGGTTAACAGCTCCCATTTTACAGTTGATGAGTGCACAGACTTAGAAAAGTGAACTGGCCTTCTCTACAAAGCTGCTACCAGGTTCTGCTCTGGGTCACACCTGAAGTGTCCAAATTCAAATTTAGGAGTACTCTAGAATGTCGTAACAGGACTCTCAAGACCTGGGCCTATAGAGCTCATGAGAGTTGTTGTTGTTTTAAATATATTTCTATACATAGCTCAGGTTCAAGGAATGACCACCTACTGCTTTTTTGGCTTCTATTGAGAGAGTTTTACTAGTGTCTGTGCTGTTAAAGACAGCCAGTTAGATTTCTCATCATCTAACACATACCGTTATGTTTCTAGCATGACAAAACATCTGTCTTTTTACACACATCCCAAAGGAATACCTTGTTACTCAGCATCATACTAGCTATTGTTGCCTCAGACGCAAAGCAATGCTATTATAAGGAATAGGCTAATATCACTGACTTTCCTTGAGTCAGTGAAAGATTTATTTCTTTTAATCTTGAGGTATACATACAAATCCTGGCAAGTACTAGTTACTTTATGTATTCTTGACTGTTCTGAAAAAGCTTTTAATAAATTATCGGTTTTTTTTAAAGTTTATTAATTTATAAAAGTTTCCATTTCCGCCCCTCCTCCCAACACCCTCCCAGTCCCCCTACTCCCTCTCCTCCTCCCTCTCCATCCCTAAGAGCAGGTCAGGGTTTCCTGCCCTGTGGGAAGTTCAAGTTCCTCCCCCCTCCCTCC